GAGCTGGGGAAGCGCCCCAGGCGGCGGCTGCAGCAGCAGCGGCAGGGTCATCGCCTTGCACCGCAGTGCTGTGATGGATGTCGTGTCAGAGCTTCAGCTGCTCCCTTGACCTGATCCTGAATGAGAGCAGGGCTGGTTTCTTCTTTCCTTTGTAGTCTTTAAAGAATTTCCTTTCAGTAGGTAATTGCATTCAGTAGCAGAAATAGAATTATTAGTGGAATAAAGTGTGTTCGATTTTGCTGTGATGTGAAGCACTGCGTCAGGACACAGCTTTGGAGGACAGGTTCAGCTAATTTACTCATTTCAGCTCCTGTTTTTTTTTGTAAGGTTTTATGGGATTCGGGACGTGAATGGGTTTATGTTGTACTGCAATGCTAACTTCAAAAAGCTTTCAAAAATCCTTAGCGAGCATACCGAATGCCTGAATTTTCATTTCAAAATGTCACTGTGGAATTTGCTTTTGCCAACATGCTAAGCTTAGGACGTGCTCAGGAATATCAGGCGTGGGTGAAGCCTCAAATAATTAATTAGTGTGGATTTATCCAGTTTCAATTTCTAGACAAGGAATACTTAAAAAAAAAAAAAACCCAAACCAAAACCAAACAACAGTGTATTTACGGACAGAGAAATAATTTATGTGTCCCTACGTATGTAGATATATAGGACAGGACTAGATTGAGTTCCCCTCCCTCCGCCAAACCATCTGAGCGCTTTTCCGTGTTAATTAGTTTGGCAGATGTGATGTCCTTCACGAAATTCATGGTGTCTCTGACCCCCTTCTATTTTATGGCTATCCCCCGCCTGACGGAGTAAACGAAATGAACGTCTGTAATCGTGTGGATGTTTTGCTTAAACAAAAAGAGCGTCCTAGGAGGTGGCTGTACAGCACCGTTCCGTGCTCGCTGGATGCTCCCTATGGCTGGTGGCTCTCAGCGTGTGAGTCTTCAGAGGGAAGCAGACTCAACGTTTCCGAGGGAAATCTCTTGAGCAGCCCCTCTGGAGAGGCATTCCCTCTTCCCTGCTAAATCTCACGAGAAATTAAAAAGACGGGCACGCCGGGCTCACACATGAGGTGGGAAGGCGCTGGTATGATATTGCACTCGGAGGCTTTTCTCCTCGCGCTGAGGAGACTCCAGCTGGAAACTCCTCCTCGCTGTGCAGCAGCTACAGTGACAAATTGATGCTGCAGCAGATTTTTTTCTTTTTCTTTTTTTTTTTCTCCTTTTTTTTTTTTTTTTTTTTTTTGCAGTCTTAGCATAAAATGGTCAAATGATGTTCCACCGCAGAATTCAATTTCACAGTTCAGTTGGGTCCTTGATTACACTGCCAAATTCAGATTAATGTGCATTTAACTAACATGGATCAGGGACTCCTGGCTGGCAGCCAGCAGTAATAGTAGCAGCCCTGAGCTGTGTAGAGTTTGCTACTCTGCCCACCCCTGTGCACTGCCACCGAAATTGATTGATTAAATTAATTCATTGCCATAATTATTTGTAATTGTGCTACATCATGAGCCTGTGTCAAACCACCCCTCTGCCCCAAGATGCTTTACATGTCATCAGGAGTCACATATGTTGTATCATAAACATGGAGATGCTCTTTTCTGCAGGAAAAAAAATGTATTTTTGTTTTAGGTAGGGTTTTTTGTCTTTTTTTTTTTTTTTTTTAGTTTGAACAGAAGCAAACTATTATGTTTGTGAATGTTAACTTTTCATTTGCTTTCAGTGTAAAAAGCTTAGAAAAGCTTGGAAAATAAAAAGAAAGAAAGGAACATGCAAATAAACAAGGCTTCCCATCTGCTTAATTTCCTCTACAATCGTCTCTCATTTCAGATGAAAATTAGCAGTTTTGTGACACCGCAGTTAAGTAGCGTGTCACTCTGGAAAATTATTTAAGAAATAGTAAATTGAATTAGGCTCCTTGTCATACTCACATACACAGTCACTCAAACAGCAGCTGGTAGCAGGGCAAGGCAAGAGGTGATGGGGATTTCAGGGTGCCACCACCTCCGCAAGAAGACATGGGTCGTTCTGGAAATGCTGGAGAGAAGTGTAAGGGCTAAGGGGTAAGAGTCAAAACCCAGGAACTGGTATTTGAAAGGAAAGACACAACTTAGAATTTGCCAAAGGGCTGCTGGTTGTGAAAGGGATGAATTCTTGGAGGAAATGGCCCAGAGAGCCTGCAGGGCACTGCACATACAGAGCAAATGCACTTTTTGAAGCAGAGGCTTTCATTAAACAAAGATGGTTGTATCTACAAACAGATACCTGGACAGAAAGTGGACCTGAGTTGCACAAACGATCTCGTGGTCTTTCCTGGCCTCATTTTAGTGCTGATGAGAGCACAGCAGGCCGGTGGTTTAAAAGTCTCTGTTCAGTGTCACATTGAGAAGAGCAGGTACGTGCAGGAGCGCGTTGTGCTGACACCCTGCTCAGGCATTCCGGGGTTGCTGAAAATGAACTGAGCAGTGGACAGCAGGAAAGCTGTCTGTCCATCCGTGTTCTCTCATCTACCTTTGTGTTGCAGGTGGATTATGATCGAGCACAGCTGGTTGTTAGCCCACCACTCTCTGGATCGGACACCTACCCCAGGGGCCCAATAAAGCTACCTCAAGGTCAGAGCAAAGTCAGCTATTCAAGCAGCAGCTACCAGTACCCTCTGGTCTATCACAAAGTGTCCCACTATCACCAGCCATCTCTCCAGCCCAGCTCTCCCTATATTTCCACTGCCTCCTACCCCAGCTCCCCAAGTATCACATCAAGTGCTTATCCTCCACCCAGCTGGGGATCCTCCTCAGACCAGCAGCCCTCCAGAGTGTCCCATGAACAGTTCAGAGCTGCCCTGCAGCTTGTGGTCAGCCCCGGCGACCCCCAGGAGTACTTGGACAACTTCATCAAGATTGGGGAGGGCTCCACAGGGATTGTCTGCATCGCCACGGAGAAGCACACAGGAAAGCAAGTTGCCGTGAAGAAAATGGATCTCAGGAAACAGCAGAGAAGGGAGCTGCTCTTTAACGAGGTACATTGTTTTGGGTGGTGTGGTGGGTTTTGCAGGTGGTAGGTTGATCAGGAGATGTGGGCCAAATGGCAACCTCAAAAGCCATTGTCTTTCTAAAAGAGGTGATGAGTCCCATGCACATCTCTGCAATTTTGTATAACCAGACCGGTTTCAGATGAGCTACATCTCTTCCTGGCTTTACAGCTGTAATGTGGTGGAAGGTCAGAGTAAACAGCTAAGAAATCTATTGGCTGGTCCGTATCAGGTGGACAGACATAGCCTGGGTGCCTGTTTCTGACCATTTTCTTGTATAGTTTCTTCTTCTGAGATGAAAAATTCAGACTAGTCTGATGGTTCAAGAGGCACGTACACCATACTCTGGCATATACATGCTTTGTGTTTCCTTCCTCCTTCCTCTCCTAACCATTAGCAGTCCCTTTGCTTTCATGATGCTTAGTAGCAAAGAGTTGATGGTCCCTTTTTCATGGAATCATCTGTATTAATTTCCACATCTCCTTTCCTGAGTGGGTGCAGCCAGTTCAGAGCCCACAGCTGCTTATGGAAGATTGTTTTCCCCATGTACATTATTTTAAATTGAAGAACACTGGTTCTCATTTGCCATTTTTTCACCCAGTTGTTTAGTGCTGTGAGTTCCTTCTGCACTTCAAAGTGTTTCTCCTTTTTATCTTCTTACTCCCTTAAAGAAGCTAGTGGTGCGTGTTCTCCGCTCCCTTGTCGAGATCACTTGTGAATATGCTGATAAATGCCAAAAACATTGCAGGTCCCCAGGGAAACCTATAGTGAGAACAAACCATTTGCTTCTCTCATTGATTTCCTGTATTTTAACTGTAAGAGGATCTTCCCTCAGCATATGACAGACTGGTTTCTTTAAAAGCTTAGTATTTTTTAATTAAAATATTGTTTTTAACAAACTTCCTTTGCACAGTCCGTGAGTGTGCTGGGTATTTTGGCTTTGTTTTTCCTCTGCTGGAAGACTGCACTGAATTGCATTGTGGTAGCTCTAACTGAGCATCCCTTGAATGGTAACATCTTGAAGCAAATCCTACATGCTGTGCAGGACCAAGCTGCTTCCCTGACATGCTCCAGTCGCTCGTGTTATCTGAAAATTTCTTTTCAGCAATGCTGAAATTCCTCCATCTATAATGAAGCCTTCCCAGGCTGTTGTTTTTCCTCCTGATCACTTTTCTGACATCGCTCGGTGCCATGTGGTGGTCGTGATCACCACCTTGGCTGGGCAGCTCTTACTGTGCTCCCAATTCTGTACAGTCCCTTTTAGATGTGGGATTTGAGTCGTTTTAGGATTATCCCCTATATTACCAGTATTCTGTTAAAATTCTGTGCAAAGTACTGTTTGATGCCTGATGAAGAAGACTTTCATGGGTTGAGTGATTGATCAGGTCAAAAAAAAAAAATCATCTATGCTGTACTGAAATCAACTGTCAATAGAAAAGCAATGAAATAAACAGTCCTGTTCCTGCAGTCTGAAAAAAACCCACTTATAATCTACCACTTATAATTGAGCAACTAAAGAGTCTTCTTCCTTCTTCCTAATGCATTTAAAATGACTGTTATTTTTATGTAAATATATTGATTTTGTTTATGCGTTGGTGTAAGGCTTAGGGAGAGCGTGATTCATAGCAGAAACTTTACACAAAGAGTACAGTGAAAAAGAAGGTCAAAACAAGTGTCAGATAATGCTTGTAGCAATTCACATACCATCTTTTTCTTCTTCACAGGTTGTGATCATGAGAGATTACCATCATGAAAACGTGGTTGACATGTACAACAGTTACCTGGTTGGTGATGAGCTGTGGGTTGTGATGGAGTTTCTGGAGGGCGGCGCTTTGACAGATATAGTGACTCACACGAGGTGGGTTGGGTGTGCTGTGCTGGAGACCAGCATCGTAAATCCAGAAAGGAGGGACATAGAATCATACAATCATAGAATCATGGAATGGTCTGGGTTAG